AAGGGAATGCAGTCACAACTGCCTCCCCCAATCACATCAAAATTACAACGAAAATACAGAATAACCATCATTCAGAAGTGCCTGAAATCTGGCTGAGTGAAGTCCTACACTAGAGAAGTAAAGAAGAAAGCACATTGAGACTAGTGTGAGTGACGGAGGCTCAGAAAGGGCTGGTCTGACACCCACCCACATGTGGGTTTTTTTAATCAGGAGGGATATCTGGACTACTGAGGCCTCACTTAAGAAGCAAAGAGCAGTTCCTCTTAAAGGGCCTGTGCATGGACTCGTATTCACTCCCTCTGAGCTCCAACACTGAGGCAGTGGCTTAGGGGGATCCACGGATAAATGGGAAGGAACTGGATTATCTGAATTCAGAGCAAGAATTCAGGGGTGGCTTTCTCTCAGATAGGGGTGCTCACAGGATTCATTGTTCTTATGCTGAGATCTCCCTGGTCTCATGGCTGAATGGCAGAGAACATATCCGAGGCTCCATCAACCTGGCTCACACTGGTTGCTCAGCCCTGGTGATTCCCTGAGACTCCACACAATTTGCAATTCACCCAAGCTGTTGCAATGCCCCCCATATATATCAGTAAGGGATCTAAGACCTGGCACTAGCAACAGACTGCTTTGCTTCCTAGATTGGCCTCTCCTGGGCACTTCTAAATCCAACACAAGTAGTAGCCATCTGCAGATTTCTATGTAGCTCCTGCTGGGTAGCCCCACGAAATGACTGACTTTGTAATTCTTGGGAGGCCACAGAGCCAGTTTACTTGGTAGACAGCTTCGGACTATACCAGATTCCAACACTATACCTCCATTAGTGACACACTCAAGGGGAAGACTCAGTGAGCAATAAACCCCACTGAAGCCAGTCCTGCTCAGAGTGGTGTCTCCTGCACAGTAGCTCCCCTGCTGTGGTCAGAGCTGGTACTATACACATTCTGGGAGACACAGCAACTCTACTTAATACATCAAAACCAACACAAGGAGGCAGCCGAAATAAAGAGACAAGTACACATGTCACAAATGAAAGAACCGAAGAGATCTCCAGAAAAGGAATTAACTGACATGGAAGCAAGCACGTTACTAGATATAGCTTGCTTATATCTAATTCAAAACAATGTTTTTACGGATGCTCAAGGTTCTTAATGAGAGCTTCAAGAGACTCTCAAACACATGAAAAAGGCCCAGTCAAAAATTAAGCATGCACTGAAATAAAAAAAAAATAACTTACAGGGATTCAAAAGTATAATAAAAGATGTTGAGAATCAAATCAACAATTTGGAATATGAGGAAGCAAAGAACATCCAATCAGAAGAACAAAAAGAAAAATATTCCAAAAATTATGACCATAGTGTAAGGAACCTCTGGGACAACTTCAAGGGTACCGACATTTGCATTATGGGTGTACCAGAGGAGGAGAGAGATAGCAAGATATTGAAAACCTACTTGAAGAAATAATGACAGAAAAGTTCCCCAATCTAAATGATATTTAGTTACCAGAAATACAGAGTCCCAAATGAGAGGAACCCAAATCATCCATACCAAGGCACATCATAATTAAAATGCTAAATGTTAAAGATGAAGAGAGAATCCTAAAAGTAGCAAGAGAAAAGCAGTTACCTACAAGGGAACACCATATGACTGTCAGCTGATTTCTCAACAGAAACTTTGCAGGCCAAAGTGAGTGGCAAGAAATATTCAAAATGATGAATAACAAGGACCTACAACAAAGATTACTCTATCCAGCAAAGCTAGCACTTAGAATTTAAGGTCAGATAAAGAGCTTCACAGTCAAGAAAAACTAAATAAGCTCATCACCACAAGCCAGTATTATATGAAATGTTGAAGGGTATGCTAAAGGAAGAAGAAGAAGAAAAAAAAAGGAGGAGGAGGAAGAGATAAAAATATGAACAGTAAAATGGCAATAAATACATATCTATTAATAATTAAATCTAAAAATCAAAATAAATGAACAAGGAATTTAATGAACAAAATAAACTAAGGACTAAAATAGAACCAGAGATATGGAAACATGGAACAGACTGATGAATCTCAGAGGAAGGGAGGAAGAGGGGTAAGAGATTAACTTAATAACTTATATGCATATAGGCATTACCTATGGACTCAGGCAATAGGGTGGTGAAGGCCTGAGGTGGGATGGAATCTGGATTGAGGGGGATGGGGGAATACTTATAATTTTCTCAACAATAAAGATTTTAAGAACCCTACTATATGGGTATGAAAGAAAGTGAGGAGATTAGCCAAAGAACATATATGCATAACCCATAGATACAGACAACAGTGTGATGATGGCCATAGTCGGGGTGAGGGAGAGGGGGTGGAGTGAGGGATAGATTGAGGTAGAAAAAGGGAGGAACTGCGGGAAATGGGACATCTTTAAAGTATAAACAATAAAGTTTAAAAAATAAGATATACAGGCTTTAAAACTAATTGCCACAGCCCACTTTGTATAATATTGGTATCTGATAAATGTTTAGCAAAGGTAATTGATTCTAAGACCTTTTAGGAGCTACTTGAAGTCAATCATTTTTGTGGAAATTGATGCTTGGTTGGTCTAGAAAGTCAGATATTGAGAAATATCATCCTACTTTGCTTTTTGTTTGGTAGATTTGCAAAATTTTACAGTATATATACCGTGAGAACTTGGAAAAAAGTAAAAGTCAACATAATTTTTCTTTGAATACAAATGTTTGTTTTATATAACTATGAATAGCTGGATGAAAATTATCCTTTCATTGTATTTATAGTTCAAAAAACACACTTTACAGTTTGAACAGCAAGTACAAAAAAAGAGCACATATAATTAGAGCAATATTTATTAAGCGCATTATTTAAAAATTAATAATCATTTTCTACACCTACTTTATCAGAGAAATATCTTTCTCTCTTTCAAAGAAGTCAAGATTATACAAGCTAGAGGATGTTCTCCCAAAGAAATACAGCTCCTGATGATTGCTCGATATGCTTTCAATATGTTAATGAAAGATTCACAGTAGAGCTAAATTGAAAGATGTTGCACAGAAATCCTGAAATCACACGTTTAAAGCCAGTATTTTTCTGATGTGGGAAAACGGTTTAATGAACACATGTGTCATTTAGTTACTATGATGAAAAATTGACGTATATTAGTATTGCTCTGACAGCTAAGTCAATGCTGAAGAAAAACTTGATTTTTGCTATTCCTGTCCATCTCTTTAGCATTTTTTTAAAATATATTTTATTGATTTTTTTACAGAGAGAAAGGGAGAGAGATAGAGAGTTAGAAACATTGATGAGAGAGAGTCATCAATCAGCTGCCTCTTGCACGCTCCCTACTGGGGATGTGCCTGCAACCAAGGTACATGCCCTTGACCGGAATCGAACCCGGGACCCTTCAGTCTGCAGGCTGACGCTCTATCCACTGAGCCAAACCGGTTTCGGCTCTTTAGCATTTTCTTTTTAGGTCTACCTTAAAGAGTAAATAGAGAATAACATAAATTCACTGAGAAATGTAGCATATATGTCTGCAAAGTTTTCTCACAGAACAAAAACTATTCTTGAAATGTATTCAACATGGATAAAACATATACAATGTTCTTATACACTGAGTGGCCAGATTATTATGATCTCTGAATGCATAATAATCTGGCTTCTCAATGTATATTCTATATAATAAAAGGCTAATGTGAATGGCCAGATTATTATGTGTTCAGTGATCCTAATAATCTGTCCACTTTGTATAGATTCTTAGTGAATTGCTTAAATACCTTCAGACCATCTGGATACTCGTGAATGTTTTCCTCAGTTTTACCAAATAGAAGTAACTATGAACTCAAATGCATACATTTTCTTATCTTAATTAAAGCTACTTATTGACTAGATATATCGAGCATTTCAAATGATTTTGGCCAAGACTTGATTAGCATCAGTATTCTCTATCAATTTAATCATTCCACAAATTACAATCTTGTACTAGTATTAGAAGTACAAGAATGTAAGTCGCAATTACATTCAAACACTTTCTATTTCACTGAGTATTCTTGGCAAGAAGTCCACACAGACAGAAGTCCACCTGAGGTACAATGAAGTGACAAGCTTATGCCCTTCAATTAAGAGATATGGCCAGGTCTAGAGGAAAGTTACATACAATATGTTGGTTTTAATACCACCCCATCCCCATGTATCTATTTTTGGCAAAAGCAGGTTATAAATTACTTATAGGCTTTGAGTGATTATTGCCAGATCATTTGAATTATTAATTCAGCTATAAATTATCTTTGGTTCTTATTTGATCAGAAAGAAGTCTTTTTGTATTTATTTGTTTAAAAGTGAATATTTGAGATGAAAATATAGGGAAATTAGAATCTCAAGCAAAACCGTATTCATTACTAATAATTACTACTTAATGATTCTAAAACCTTCATAAAGAAGATAGATGTGTTTTCATGTGGTTGTACATAGTTCATAGTTATTCTAATTTTGATAAGTGGATTTATTAAAAAAATTCATTTCATATACTTGTTATAATAATAGAAATAATAAGAAAATACTTTTTCAATCTGGAAAGGAATTTCAGCTATGGTGCCAAACAAACAAATGAACAAATAAGCAAATAAATCTGGTCTGATTATATGTTAAAATAATAAATTAAAACACTTGAAGTAAACATAACAAAACAAAATGTAGGTTAAACTAGCACTGCATGAAATTGAGACAAAAAATTCTGCTATAAGTGGATTTGAGCCAGAAATGTATTTTTAATGAAAAATTTAATTAAAACATTTTTATCTGTCCTTGAATGTGTCTGCTAAGAAAGCCTTAGCCTTTATTTGCTTAAAACTAAAAGAAGCATCTTGTGATGTATTCTACTTCAAGTCCTAAACCTCTGACACATAAGAAGTTCTCACAGATCTCAGGCAACTTAGCCCTCAGCTGTGGAGATCATGGACAGAGCTTGGCCTAAGGTACATTATTTGGTTGGACATCACACTTACCTGCTTGATTTGTGGTTACATTTACAGACACATACTGCCGGGCTCCTGGGCTCAAGTCGGATACTCCATTCACTGCCTCAATCTCAAAGGTATAGTTTGTGTGAGCAAGCAGATCCACCATCATGACAGAGGTGTTTTTCAGGCCGATTTGCTGGGGGAGGTACCTGACATGACCTCCACACTCGTCACACACACCTGCATGGGAGTTGCACTTCTTGCATGCAATATAATATGACACATCTTTCCTTCCACCAGTGTCAGCAGGAGGAATCCATTCCAGAAAGACACTAGTTTCATTAACATTTGAGATGGCATTCCGAGGAGCTGAGGGGGGTCCTGGTTTGCAAAGTAAAGTGAGAAAAACATATTTTAAGATAGTCATCTTTACTACACATATCCCTGGTCTGAAGGAGAAAAAATAGATTTGCATTTATATTTTAAAAATATAGGGAGAATCAAAGAGTCATCATTTGAACTAATCTTTGGAAAGTCTTATTATAGTTTTGTGAGGGACAATACTGGATTGTATACCTCAAGAAATAATTTATCTTGGAATTGTAACACTACTTCAACTAAAGCAAATATTTTGTCTAGTGTGTATATAAGTAATTATGATATACAACTATACATGCAAGAACAGAGTTAAATGAAAATAATATGTATTTAAAAATGGCAAGTCTTTTATCAAATACCTCTTTAGGATTGAACTAATTACTTCCTCACTAAAATTGTCCCTAAAATCTAGGAAGCAAACAGGAGGGCTTACCAAGAATAAGCACAGGTACAGACTGGATTTTTCAATGTGCCTCTTTAATAAAAAATTCTGTAGCAAGTAAATAATAGCCTTAGCTTACCTAAAACTAGATCGGCTATCTACTCATAATTCAACAACAAAATTTGAAACCTTCCTTCAATGTCAAGAAAACACTAGAATTTAAGTAGTTGGTCAATATTATAATTTATAATAAAGGTGTATTTTTTTAAATATTGATATTGCTTTAAGATGATGGCTTTCTAAAAATTATGCATTTTACTTAATTGGGAAACTAAGTTTTATTTTAAAAATAATTCACAAAACTATAACGGGAATAAAAATATTTAGATCTTGAGGCATTAGCATAACAAATTTATCAATAAATAATAAATAGCATCTATTTGTCTATTACTTTACATATTTCTAAAACTAATTAACATACTAAAGAGAACTAAAATTGATTACACGTAATTATAGCAAATGTATACCCCTCTGGTGGGGAGAGTTGATAACAGGGGCGGCTGGCTATGCATGTGTGTGGACAGGAACTATATGGTAGATCTTTGAATCTTTCTGAATTTTGCGATAAGCTAAAAAACAGTCTAAATAAAAAAGTCCTTTAAAAATTGATTGCATAATGTCTAATGTTAGTTGATTTTTAAATACTTAGGATTAAAATTTCAGTCAGCTGTTACTATTATGTATTCAAAGAGAAAATAAATTTATATTTTTTTCAGACTTGATTAGTAAAGATTTCCTGACAGGAAGGAAAATGGACTATGGTGATAGTTGAATGGTTCATAAGCAAAAATTAGGGAAATATAAAATGACATAGTTATATTAATATGCATTGTCTGTTCTAAACATAGAGATTTGTATTAGTTTTTACCTAAAATTCATAGTCATTACTGTTGGGACCTAAATTTAAAAGTAGTAGGAAAGTTACCTAATATTTATAAAATATTGTTGAAATTAAAGGACTCTATAATCGATGAGTTGCCCTTTTTGACAAAACAATCCCCACCCAGGCAACATTTATAGTTGAGCCCTGTGAATGTTTCCATACATACAGTTTTACACACTTGTGTATAGAAGTCACTTTTAAATTGAAGCAAGTACTTAAGATGAAACTACAAGTATTATTTTTTACTATAACTTACTTAATATTTAATGATGGAAAATTATGGAGACAATGTAATTTGAGATCAAATGTTATGTTTCCTTCTAAGAAAATGGTAAAAATAATATCTGAAATATATGTGTTGAGAATAATACCAGGCTTCTGCGATGTTTTTCCTGCCAACTGGAATGCAGGCGCATGTAACACCTTTTCTCTAAATCTGAATTCTTCCTTTTCTTCTGACTTTGCTACTAACAGCCCCTCAATATTTGGATGGAGGCTCATATGAAACTCAAATTTAAAATTAAAATGAGACTCAAATTTAAGTGAAGTCCTAAAGTAGAAGTAAAAAGTAGAAACTCAGACAGACTTGCACCTAAAAAATATTGTAATGAAATGCGACTGGCCATTTATATACGTGATGTCTGAGCCAAGGTAGAACTGTGAGAAGTACCCTTGATTTAAGGAGATCCATTAGAATCTTTATTTTAGTTTAATTTTCTTTCCCTGTATATTTTGTTTATTACATTTTGTTTTCAAGATTATATATATAATTAAAGGGAATCGAACCATAAATTTAAGTCCAAAGAGCCAAAGGGAAAGCAAAATTCTAGATTCTCATCTTAACATCAATCAAACCATCAAAGGAATCATATGTGGTCTTTGTGGTGATATGAATGCAACGTAAAAGAGAACACACACACTCACAGATTATATATTAATAAGACTGACTACACAGGTCCCAACAGATTTTTTGAGAAATGAATACAGATTGGTTTTGTTCTGAGACAGTGCTAGAAATTCGCATACCTGCAGACAGAGAAAATATGAAGCCTCAGGTCCTATGTGCTAAGAAGCCCTCGTCACCAGAGCACAGGGTCTCTCCACCCCCAGATCTAACATGTTTACAGAACGGAGGCTCACTTTTATGCTAAGAAGAAGAAAGATCATGGCTGGACCATTTAAAGAAAATTATACCTAGAAAATTACTGATTTTTAAAAGTATCTCAAGAGATGGTTTTCTTTTTCTAATTTACCATTCCATTGTCTACCCAACAGTTCCCCTTCTATTTGGGCTTTCTTTTGCTCTGAATAATCAAAATAACCTCCGCTGCAACCAGAATGCACCACATTCAAACATAGTTTATATTTCTTCTATTAAAATTTATTCTCCTTAAAGTGTATATAATAATGCCATTGACTCATGTGATGGGTAATAATTTATAATTAGTAATTGCTTAACTCATAAAATTATCAGTCTGGTGATAAAAGAATGATCTTTAGTGATGCAAAGCTAACTAATATCAATAATTTGAGGAACTATGAACATATGTTTCACTGACACTGAAATACAGATAAAATTTCATTTTGTGATTATTTAATAAAAGGTATTACATGCTTTTTTTTATTTAATACAACTGAAACTAAGTTTCATAAGCCTGTCATCATCTTTGAGAGCAGTTACAATGTAATGGAATCTAAAATAGTTAAAACAATGCAGGCCATGAAAATTAACCGCTATTAAGAGAAGAGATCCACTTTTCTTTCATTTTTTTTTTTTAATTTGCTATAAAGAACATGAATGTGGAAAACTATGAAAGTACTGTCATGAAGCAAACAAATTCATACATTTGTTTTCTTCCCAGAAATATATACAGAACACTAAAAAAACAAAATCTCCAGAAACTTTGATGGATGTGAATCCATCCACTGCAAATGTTGAAATTAGGTGTTTAATATTTATCATTCTAATCATATGGTTATTTGATCATATAATTAATAGTAGTTAAGGACACTCCCTCCTAAGAAACACTGCAACTGCTTGAAAATCCTAGCTAAACAATTTGTTTTCTTTTGGCACTTAAAACTGATTTTCCAACACGCAGTTAGTTATCCATGTCCTTGTAAGAGTCCCTGTCTCTATTGTATATGACCTATTGGCCTTTGCCGCTTAGTGGTTCCGGTTAGAGCCAAACGTGAGAGTGGCATGGACTTCATGTGTATGTGGTTAGAAAGCTGGCTTGGAAGAAGAAGAAGAAGAAAATTTACCATGAATGGGGAAATGGATTGATCAGAGTCATGTTTGGCTACCACTACAGGAACTCATAAAATAAAAGGAAAAATTCTACCTCTGCTGCGTCTTAGATGTTGACATTGAAATTCGGGAAAATGGATGCTTCTCCCAGTGAGTGAAACATGAGCCTCACATTTGTCAATGCTTACTCAAGAAGATTGCACTGTGGTGAAAACTATACTGGAAGACTCAACACTGTTTCTGTGGTAGGGACGTGGTAACAGAATGGAACAAGCTCCACCGTGCTCTTCCTTCCAATTGGTGAACGTTAGCATCACCATATATCCGTGGGTTTCCTTACTTGTGCATGCCATTGTGGGTGGATCAGACTCCCTCCTGAAATAATCCTTTTCACAGACACAAGAGGTTGAAGCTTCCTCCTGGGTGTAACTGTGAGGTGGACATTTGCTGCAGCTCTGGCTGTGAGGTGAGGCTTTGAAGAACCCAGGTCTGCACACTGTCAAGAGAAATAAGAGACTAAGCTTTTCCCTGGAACAGATGCAGGGTTTGTCTTGTGAATAAGGTCATTATTTTGACTACTATACACAGATTACATATAGCACAATCTTCGCAGTAATTTTAATTTTTTAATAAGCTTCTGAATAATAAATACCAGGCTATTCATTCCGATAGTCAAATATGCACTTTAAGTCTTTAAATTAAACATGTTTGAAATGTTTTATATATTGAATGATTTTTTTTTATGCTAGAGAAATTTATAAGAAATTATAATGGGCAGTAAATACTTATTTGCATTTAAAGCTGAAGCATTGCTTTGAATATAATTTTCATTTCCTCTATTAATATATCATATGATGAAGAAATGCAAATTTGCCACTATGCTCATAAAATAGTATGGTACACAGTAGATGATCAAAAATGTTTTTTATTAAATTAATTGATTAATCAGTAGTTGCTTTAAAATTCTGTTAGATTGGGGAGGATGCATGAAAGAGTTGGTGCATTATTCACATTATGTTGCTTTCTGGGGGAGGTAGATTTTAGGCATTGGTTTTACCTTTTACTCCATTTTAGAATTTTCTTTTTCAGTTCAGCATGCAGCTATTCTAATATTGGTCATGCTTATACAAAGTATAATGATCTATAAAGGGTAGAAAGTATGTCTCATTCATAATACTTATCACAGTGTTTGACCACAGTAGGTGTTCATAAATTGTTATATAATACACAAATGAATGACTAGCAAGGCATAAAGATTGTAACTGAGCCGAAACCAGTTTGGCTCAGTAGATAGAGTGTCAGCCTGCAGACTGAAAGGTCCTGGGTTTGATTCCGGTCAAGGGCATGTACCTTGGTTGCGGGCACATCCCCAGTGGAGGGTTTGCAAGAGGCAGCTGATCGATGACTCTCTCTCATTGATGCTTATAGCTCTCTATTCCCCTCTCTTCCTCTCTGTAAAAAAAATAAAAAATAAAAAAAATTAAAAAAAATATTTTTTAAAAAAGATTGTAACTGAACTATTTAGAATCACATAAAGATAATGTTCCCTGACATTTTTGTTGACATTTCTAAGTTGGTGGTCAGGAAAATAAGTGCTAATGAAGTAAATCTTTTTATTCTGTTCATTCCCTAAACTTTTGTGTTTTTCTTCTTTCTTAGTGGCTAATAAAGTCAAACTTCAAATTCCAGCTGCACAGTGTGAATCATTTGAAAACCAATAGATACCAAGCTCATGGTTTAGTTATTTTTTATGGCTTAGTTTACTTAAGCTAATAACCATCTATATTTTTTCGATTGTTAAATTAACTGTATACTTGTACATACATTTAAAATTTTTTATTCATGAATAATGACCATTTGCTAAGCTCAAAGGCAAACTTGCATTTTAATAAAAAATGTTGATAGACATAATGAATTGGGGTCAAGTTGCATGTGCCATAATTGATCTGGGATTTTAGTAATCCATGCTAAGGTGTTCTGCCACCACTGAATAATCAGGACCTGACAAAAATGAGAAAGAACTTTTTTGAGTAGGTCTAATTATAGCAATAGTAAAGCTTTAATGCTCTTATAAATTCAGAGAGAATGTGAAGGTATTGGAAAGATAAGAGCTTTTGATAGTATTAAGGGCATTCTTGTAGTTAAGTGATTAGGAGAAGATTTAAAATATTATTTTTCTTATAATAGGATTGCTGTAGCAGCCAGTACTATCCTTAGGTAAGTTATCCAATTTTCTTCTTTTATCCTTTTTATTCCCACTTTAAATACTATTTGCTTTCAAAGACGTGAAGTGCCAATCCACTTATTCTGCAAATTCGAAATTTACTTATCATTCATTAAACAAAAGCCTTTTTTATTTTTAATAAGTGCCTTTTAACCTAAATTTATATGATATCATGTGTTACAACTACTGTCCAATCCTCCATGGAAACTTTAGGAAATAATATAAACATAACTAAAAAGTTGATAAATCTACCTTTCTGTTCAGTAGTCTAATAGAATTATTTCAGCATGTGCGGTAGGTCAGACATTTGTCCTTGGTACTGGGGTAAAGAGGTAAACAAGATAGAAATAGGCCTGACTTTGTGAGTCTTAAAGGCATTCCCTAAGTAATTATACATATGATTACATTATGAATAAGAGCTATGAGAGTGAACATCTACACCTAGTTTAGACTGGGATGTCAAGGAAGACTTTTCTATGGAAGCTGAGTCTCTGCTGAGTTGTAAAAGATTAGTAATATTGTCCAATTAGAATAGGAATATTGCAGTCTGGGGTGGGAGGGGGGTGGGGGAATCCTTCCATAGGACCAAAAGAAGTGGAGAATAAACAGGAAGATGAAGTTAAAGAATTGATCAGGCAGATAATAGGAATCACGTGTAATATGTATTACATCTATGTTTGCCACAGGAAAGGAGACACCAGGTTATAAACACCTTAAGTTGTGACTTGAAATTTTCAAGAATGAATAAAAACGAGCAGGGAAATAATAAGATCAAAGTGGTATTAAGGAGACCACCTCACAGAAGTATGGGAAACAGATTGGGATGGAGCATAATAGAGGCAATTGGCCATTTTGTTTCTATTGCGTTTATCCAAAAAGGGACTCTGTCGCATGATAAGAGTGGTTCTAATGGCAGAGATAAAAGTGAATTCAGGAGTTAAGTATGAAGTGAAATAAACCAATGGTTAGAGGTAAGAACAAGTAAATTTAGGAGGGAAGTATGAAATGAAATAAATAAGATTACATGGTATATTAAATGGGTCAGATAAGTAAGGAAGAAATCCCATGACTCCAAAGTAGTTGGCTTAAACTGCAGAGGAAAAACTAGTGCCATTTTCTCATAGAAAACACCGGTTATAAAATCTATTTGGGGAAAGTAATAATTATGTGTAGAGCATTATTTAATTTGAGGTTAGCTGAAGAAATCCAAGTGTTGGTATAGAGAGGAAAACTGTGGAGTTCAATGCAATCCAATAAAAAAAATAATACTGAACCATAATTTTAAATTGTATTCCAATCATGGTCCCAAATCCAAATGGGATATATGATTCTACTAGACGATCTTAGTATTACTTTCTTAGTTAACTTCAGTTTCTAGCCTCAACCTGATTATTAACTTCAGTTAATTTCAGCTCCTAGCATCAATGTGATTATTTAATAACATCATTTCTTTCTTCAACCTCTGTACCTCTGTGATGCCTAGCTGGTATACTTGCCTGTGAGCTGAGAAAACAGAAGGCATAAGAGATGAACTTCATTATTTTTCTACCACCAAATCACCAAACTTATATATACTTATACTACCCTCTTTATCTTCCTTCCAGTTAAATCTTTGCTCCTATCTTTATGTGAATTTTAACTAGGAACTCCATATCTGCCATCTGAGTGTAATCTTCCAAGTCAAGTGTCTATATATTTTTTGCATCCTCCCTCTCTCTCTCTCTCTCTCTCTCTCTCTCTCTCTCTCTCTCTCTCTCTCTCTCTCTCTTCTTTCTCTCTCTCTCTCTCTCTCTGTCTCCCCCTCCCCCTTCCCTCCCTCCGTCCCTCCCATATACATACCTAGTCAGTCATTCACATGAGCCCAATACAATTTTCCAAAACTTTGGCATGAAAACAAAGGGAAACAAAACAAAGGAACAATGTAACTCTCAACCTTAATTTATGTAAATCTCCCTGTAGCTACCAAACAGCTTTGTTCTCCTTCAGAACATAATTTCTTAAGTTATTTTCCATACATGTATCTCTAGCTCATTTTTAAATCACACACTGACACACTCCACTCTGAAACTACTCAACTAAAACTGCTTTTGTTAAGACTGAAGTTAGTTCTCAGCAGTATTTGATCAAGTCTTGTTTTACAAAATTCTAGCATAGCCTAAATATGTCCACATAATATGTAAGAAAAGCTTCAAACGTGGTCTTCAACACTCACTATCTCCAGCCATGCTAACCTCCTTAAAATGCCCTGCACTCGAGGAACTTCTCTATCTGCCTCTGAATAGTAAGAAAAAAACATTTTTGCACTCTTACTGCGAAGCACTGTGGCAAGGACGGTTTGCATGGTGGTGAGAAAATAACAATTGTACTCCACAGCCTGAAGATACAAGATATTTGGGGAGACAGGTAATAAACAAGTAATCATCAAAAGGAGCTAAAATTGACTTTTTACATATTAATCATAACAAGAGCAAAACTGTTTAGTGTGACACTTGCACATTACCTAAATATTATTTGGAAAATACCTATGCAAGTCTATTTAAGTTCAGCAAGAAGAGGAAAAATGCATTCTACACTGACATGTTTCATTAGACTATTTGGCTTGCTCTGGAAGGAAGGAAACTATTTTAGTAATTGTTATTCTATGCATGCTTCCTGGCAAATTTTAAGTGCCACCTTCTCCATGATGCTTGTGCTGAGCCACATGGTTGCATTTTTTTTTTCTTTTCATATCCTTTGGAACTTTGAATCATTTACTTAGTGTCTCTCTTTGCAGATAGCAAAATTTTGTCATAATTTTATTTGTATGAATTCTCATCTGCTCCCAACTCATATAAAAATTCTGTAATATAGAATTTGTTCATTGTATTTTCATCTTATATAACATGTATAGTAAGTACATGCTCATCAACATTTATTGTTGAGAATAGTACATTTGTGTACTCAGGGTCTAAATGACATAGTAGAAGCTTAATAAAAGATGGCTAACATGAATTATTTAAATATTAAGTCTAGGAAAGTTAAAAAAATATATCCTTTACATCTACATTTGCTATTTTAGTATTGTTTCAGAAACAAACAACTCTAAGTCTTCTACAGTTCTTAAATCTAGCCAGAAAATGCATGTCATCAGAGGCTTTTACATTTGTTAAATTGTGGAAAAGTTCCTAATGGGAACTTTTTTTAAGTTCTCAAATCTATCATAAATGGTTAAATTGACAATTTAAAATGTTTTTTTCACATTTTTAAATTGTCAATTAAATTACTTTTAGTGT